GCAAAGGGTCCTCAGGACATACCGCAGGCGAATGCGGCGTAGCTTTGCTCCATAACGCCACGCCGCCCTGCCGACCCACTGCCTTTAACAGCATTGGAGTAAAGAGCAAAACTGCTGCCGCAGTCTCTCAATGATTTTAGTTTTCAAATTTAATCCGAATTTCAATTAAATCTTTATCGGCAGCATATAATCAGATGTGTCATGAACGAACAGAACGGGTACGTTCTGGTATATTTGAAAATAGCGCCTATGCTGTCTCCTTTTAGCATAAAAATGCGAGGGAAATGGTTGTGAAAGACCATTTTTCAATATAAAAACTTCTGTCTAATAAACTTTTTGGTCGCAATGGCCATTACAACTGAAATTTATAACTTTTTATAGAGCGCTAAACGCTGATTCAAATCTGTCTCTGGTAACTTGTGCGCTTCTAGATGCCGAGGTATGAAGGTCTTTCGGACCAAAAAAAACAGGAAAAAACAACAAAAAAAACAGGAAAACAGCACTGGGCATGTAAGAGTTACCGTTCCGTTCATTGGGCTAAATAGCTAACAAGAGTTCTTTACTGAGAGTGGCTTTGCTTGATACATTACATTGGCTCATAATTGTTAGGTTGAAAGTTCTGTCATTTCATTTTGAAAGTTTGCAACTTTTCCCCATGACAGTTTGCTTCTGTGTGATTACAAATGAGGAAGTCTTCTTCTCTGTAAATTTACCTTGAAGAGCTTCTAGTATATAATTTTTGCAGAGGTAAACATAGAAAAAGAAGCCCATTCAGGCTTTGACCATTTTAAGTTGGGTAACCAAGAATTTGGGACATTGCAGAAACATCTAAAATCGTCAGCACTTAGATTCTCTGAACTGCTCTTTGCAAACGGAAGAAATTGGTGCTGTTTGAATGTTTCTGCGAGAGTGAATTTCCAGTCTACTACAGAAATCGCTAAAGTTGTTTAATTTTCACTTTTCTCGAACATTTTAACTTTTCACAGAAACTCCAACAACATTTATTTCTTACTCGCAAAGTGTAGGTCATAAAACTTCTTTAGTGACATCCACATTTTTGCGCAACGTTCTAGATTTTCGGCGACCTAACTCGAGACAAAGCCTCAGCAGTCTTCATTGTTCATTTTATCTCTGCAGTGAGCGTATAATAGAAGTTCTTTGACATAATCACAGAGAAGAAGACTTTTTTCTCAATGAAGTTATATAGAAGCAAATCCGTCAAGATAGCAAAAAACTACTTTACAAAAATGAAATACAGAACTTTCGGGACAACAGTCCTGTTTCGTATGCAAATGCGAGACTTCATAACAAATTAGATAGCTGCAGCTAGGATTTTTTGGGTAATTTCCCTCTACTATCATACATCAATCAGAATTTTCCGCCGTAAATAAATTACAACTATGTTCTTGTGTGCATAGTTTTTTTTTCGAAAATTACTTTTTTTTAAACATTCATGTGCCGTTCTCAATCGGGCGAGTGTTCAAATGAGTTCGGTAATTGGATGTATACAAGCTGTGTATAAGCTTGGCTCTGGGGCAAACCGCAATGGAGATTATGGTTTGCAAAGTGGGGTATTCGAGCCAGATGAGAATTTTCTGAATATGTGCGAGGACTTTCAATCTTCCAGATCGCTTGAGGTTGACCATCTATTCTTACGAAAAATATCAAAAAGGCTCACAAATTCCGCTAATTTCTGATCTTTCTGAATTCTTCTAACTTCTCGCCGACGTAGATCTTACCGAGTGTAAAATGCTCAATCATTTTCTTTATGTGTTCGAGATCATGCGGAGCATAAAATGTCCATTTACATCATTAGAGGTCTACGATGTGACGCCGTACTCCTACAATGGAATGGAAATAAGCATATTTTTGCTATTTTGGATCACATACGTCATGCTATGGACCTATTCATGAGTAAGAAACAGTAGATGGAAGCTGACTTATTACTTGATATTTTTGGAAAGTTTGTTATGTATCTCCAACATCAAATGGCAGAAAAGTGAATATACAGCCATCCGAATCAGCTTTATAATTGATTGTTTTTATAAAATGGAACTTCAATGCAATGTATTGCAGGAGTGAAGTACTATTTCATATAATTTTGTTGTTTACTAGAAAATCGAGCTGTGTGGACACTTTCTAAAAGTTGGGTTATTTTCCGAATGCGGAAGCGGCTTCCATTATTAACGGCAACATTTAATTAATAGGCCAGAGTCCATCCAATTCAATTCTCGTTTTTGACACCATAATTATATTGGTTCCTCCCCTTCTCTTTGTTGAGTATGAGGACGAAGAAAACAGCCGCGTGCACAGACAGGTGTAAAGCCTATTAGTAGTGAGTCAATGAAAAGTTTCAGGATCTTAAATGTTGATTGTTTTGACAGAAACGCATATACAGTTACGGTACAAGCCCCGCAATGTTGAGAAAAACACTTCAGTTCAAAGTCACCTGCTCCATTAGCGACTACTCAACAAACTTGCTTAATACACCTGGAAATCAAAACTCACCCATTGAGCTAAAAGCGGGATGTTTGGCTTTCTCATAACAGGATGTTTATTAGCAGTAACATGGAGTTTAGATTACAAGTGGGGCAACGCTCTGCACTTTCTGTCTGGAGGGTAAAACTCAAGAACAGAAACTTTGAAGACGTCATCGCGGTCTCAAATCTTTTGAACTCATTTTGCTCTGTTCTGCAAAACTTCCTTGTTCGTGCATATGTAGCGGAGATTTATTTGTTCTCCTCTGGCTCTTAGCGTCTAATTTTTGTCTTCATGACAAAGTACGTAGGCTCTGAACTCCACAGGAATATTTTCCTATCAGGTAATTTCTACGAGTAAATAGGATTGCTACCATTACAGGAGACCAATGTAGGTAGTCCTCTCTTTCAGCTGTCTACCTACGTGCTAAAAAAAATTTAGAGGTCAGGAAAGAGGAAAGATTTCTCACAGGCTTACACTGCCACTATCACGAAATCTACTTTGACCACCGTATTCTGCTATTTTTTCTTTCTTTCTACATAGACATGGGACAAACCCTATGTACAGTGTCACATAGTGCTTTAAGCATAGAGAATTTTGAATTAAAGGAGAACTAAGGATTAAAAAAATAAGTGGATTAATAATCATGAGCAGCCTTCGGTAAATTTTTTTCGGATTATGTCTTCTGAAAAAAGTCAAGAACTGGAGTCCGATTCGAGTAGTGAGAGATGTGATACATACGCGGAATTGCACATACGACACCTCCATTGACGAACCGACTTATAAGATGGAATTATATTAGCGTACAGTGCTGTGTGAGTATTGTTAACCTTCTCATACTTACCTAAAGTTTTGCAATGAGCATTTTGGTGTGAATTTCGAGCAAATTTGTATTTACAGCAATTCAACAATCTCGTTCCTGTCGTCAACTACCTACACCACTGGTCTAACAACTTTTTTCTATTTAATTACTTTCGAAACCTTCCTTGTATCCTCGTTGTTACACCGACTGCCCCCAACACAGCTCTATTTCAGTCATTTTAAACGTTTCCACATAACAGAAACAAAAGCAGATATGGAACTAATAATGCTTCTCATGAACTTCTTTTCACACGCCTACAGTTTCGCATTGTGGCTTGAAAGAACAGCTAAGTAGTGCTATAGTCTGCGTTGTCTAGAGATTAGCTAGATGACTGGATACAATGTAGAAACCGAAAGCTATTTTTGATGTAGACCCCATTGGGGCAGACATCACTATAGTGAATAGATCTACCATTTTAATGCGCTGGAATGTAAAAAAATGGATGTGGTCTGACCAGAAAAGGATAGCTTTTGACCTTTCAAACTATACAAAATGTTAGCCTTGTAACGCTTTTCTCACTTGGTTCTTTATCTGCGAGACCTTTTTTTTAGATAAAAGCAACGCCCGCCAAAAATAAACGCAAAAATGGCAAGCTCTAACGGAGATCGGACGCCAGTTTATATGCAGTAATCGAATAAACTATCAGTTAAACCATTCGCTACCACTATTAAGTATTGAAATTAGTCGTACTCTTCTACAAACACGTCAACTAGAAAGAAAACGCCGCTCGTTACTTCTTCTAGCAAAACATTCAGCAAAAAGAACCAGTTTTGAGATCAGCATTTCAGGGCGGACCTTTAGAATATCACATATTGAAAAGCTTGTTCTCTAAGTATCCTTTTGAAGGCGTATGTGATTTCTCAAGATCGAATAAGTCAAAATTCATAAATCTTGCGACTTTATCTCATTTCAAACTTTGGTGTGAAGATTTGTCTCTTCGATTAGCACTTTCGCACAGCAATTTTAGAGATAGTGCTTTGTTGAGAGTGCATTTGTGAATTTGACGTGATCAAGACTGTTTGGATTCCCAAGAGCTTATTTTAGAAGAAGATGTTTGAACACAGCTCCTTTTTAACCTGAAAATTGTATTGAACAAAATGTAAGATTTCTTTAATGAAAATGGGATTCAACATCATATACTCTTTTTTCCTCACAACTTTCGGAAAGAGAATAATCTTTTGCTTTCTACTTCCTCACTCTCTTCGGCCCTCTCTTTTATTCTCACCAAAAAGATCATGGGTTCTACCTGCGTAGACAAGCGGTAACTTCTTTGCTCACACATCAGGGTGTCCATTGTTGTAAAGTTCAGATCCACTACTTTGACCTGAATAAAACAGAATGTCGAATCCATTATCCATGCTTTTTCCATAGACCTTGTCCAGTTTAGTTCTTTTATAGATGAGGTACTACCCGTTCTGAAGATTAGTTGGCTAATCTCGTTTGCTTAATACAGGAAGCGCCATCCTCAAGATGATCTAAGTAATTATGAAGTCAGCAACCATATATTCAACACTCTTGCGTAAAGCAGCTCTGTAAAAATGTTCCAGAAGAGAATTCAAGCCATAATGAGTGTGCGTCACAAGCCTTTTTATAAAGTGTAATTGTCACTAACGAATTTGATATTCATTCAATCAATCAATCAATCACATAAGTGAATGAACCGGTACTCAAATGTGGGGGCATGGGTGACACGGGTAGAGAGATTATGGGTTGAATCTATTTCTAGCTAGTAAAACTGGCTCTGAACAGATTATCGCAGTTCTGCTGGGGGTGAGCGACGTCTATCTCTTCCAGAACTTCCTCGAGAAGATTTGCTTGCGCACGTGCTGTGCTTCTGAGTTGTTGTCGTTGACCCTCGTGAGCAGTTGTGAGACGAGCGTTTGCAGATCGTTTTGTAACGGAACCCGCAGACTGAGAGAATCACCGTCGTTTGAATCGACCATCTGAAAGCAGGAAGAATTAGAAAGCTAGAGAATTCTTGAGTGGGTAAAGTTTTCTAAATACTTGTTTGCCCAGGAAACTTAACGGGATTAAGTATTCTTCCAAATCAATTGACAGACTACCCATGAGGTGGAGTTCTTGAGACGCAACTATCCTGCTGCCAAAAATATTTTTAAATTGTACACCTATTGATAAGCCTGCACATTGAAAGTACAAATTGTGTAACTCTCAAATTTTTCAGTGGCGGTCTCCCTCTCGAAGTGAAAGAGGAAAGAGACGGGCACTTAGGATTTTTTTTTTCATAAAGATAGCAATAGCCGGCCCTCCGAGAAGAAATTTTAAGATGCTTTTTCGCTGAGCTGTTTATCAATCTTGGAATATTGAAAAAAGCAAGTAGCTTTGCTCAGAGTGAAATTCACAAAGTTATTTTAAAACGCAGAAAAATTACCGAAATGATTTAATAACCAATAAAGACTATTACAAAGCGAAACAAAATTTTGAGGCGCCCTTTCCTCTCCTTCCTCTCCCCTCTCTCCCCCCCCCCCCTTCCTATTCATCTTGGCCTGTCACTGATGTCATCAATGTACTTATGAATAGGTACGTAAGTTTGTGTTTGGCTTAGTTTGATAATTAGTCGGGTATAGCTATCAAAGTTTTCATCTCCGGGCTAGAATTCCTCGTTCAGCCTTTTTCCGTTCTAGAAAAACTATCGTCCGCTTAGTGGTTCTTTGATTCTTAGTTTGAATGTGGACGAAAGCTCGAATTTAAGCTTCATGGCCTCTGCGATGATATGCAGGCGCAATAAGAATTTTACGAAACCCACAAAGTGTGCTTTAACTACCTCAGCGTCATAGTCGCAGTTTCATGAGAATACAGCACGCGCGTCCCATTTTAGAAAACTATTTCCTCATTATCCTTGCGAAGTGCCAAGCTGTAATGCGGAACTAGAACCTGCATTCTTCGTTAATGTAATCAACAGCATCAATGCTCAAATAGCAAACTCCTGCATCGAGCCTCGCTCATATCCATAATAGCAACTTTTGCCTCAGTCTGAGTGCACGAAAGAAACAATAAGACAAATTAATGACATCCAAGTACTGCTACCGGAGCAGCATGAGTAATGTTTCCGCCAAAAAACAGCAATCAAGTGTTCCTTTGCAGTATTATTACTGTTTTTGTACTTCTACATATATGCTGACAGACATATGAGAGCAAGGCCATACTTTATGTTATATGCTATGAAGATGAAAACTTTTGTGATTGAAATTAATATGGGGAAAGTGAAAGCTAAAGATTATTTCACTTGTGGGAGAGTCCTTTCATTTCCTTTCTGAGTATTCTGGGTAGCTAGTTTCATTGAAAAAAGGCAATTTTGCTCACAAAGATTAGCTTCAGAGATAATAGAGGGTTATATTGTGAGTATACTAAAGCAAAATCATGGAGCCAGCTTTGAATGTTCAAAAAAACTGCAAATGCAACAAGGAAAGAATAAGGTATTACTCTAATCGCAAATACAATAAGAATAAGGGTTGCTTGCAAGGACAAAAGCGGCCGAAAATCCCATTCACTTTGGGGTTTTGCAAATTGTCGCATCAAATTGGAACATTATAACTTCTTCTCTCAACAAAATCGCATGAATCTAACCGTATTAGAGGGATTGTCTGCTCTGAAAGAATGTTGGCAACTTTCTAATAAAACTAGTTTCTGCAGAAGCGTAAGAAGACAGTGATTCAGCTTCCATGGCAAGCTATGTAGATCAACAAAAATCTCAAAATCTAGACTTATTACGCAGTCAGCTGTATAAGTTCTATAATCTGCTTTTTCTGGCTTGAAAGTTTTTGCTGATTGAACGGCCGTTTACAATTATATAATATTTGAGCAAGCAATGCAAAACGACGAATTTGCTTTCTCATTTTTTAAAACCTTCATCACACTATTTGCACGGTTTTTCATCGGTAAATAGCAGCGACTCTTAATCGGAAAACATTTGCATTTCCTTTTCTGAATATAATTCAAGAGCGGAGAAGCTTAAAGGAATGTACGCGGCAGCAAAGAGCTGAGGATTGCGGCGATCAAGCCTCCTTCTAAGTTTTGAAATCTCACTGTAATGTGTTCTGAAAAGTACACCAACCGTAACACTGTGTGGGAAGATGGATCACTATATCCGTAAGTTACTTGGAGAAATTCATGGCCGTTTGTAATAATTGAGAACGAGCGCACGATCAGCCAGTACAGAGCTCGTAGTTGTAACAGAATTCTTTAACGTTTCAGAAACGAGTCATATTTGGAGTTCAGTGCTCACTGAAATGGTACAAACTGTTTCAGACCGGGGGGTTTTTTGAAGGAAACTCATTTTAAGATGTTTCCGAATGTTAGGTTTACCCAAAAGTTCTGTCGCAGCTTACCAAAAAATTCATGACTTTTTGCTTTCTCTATGAATTTGCATGAATTTGATATTGTTTGTTAGAGTATGGCACTTTATGGCAAGAGCTGAGCGGTTTATGGCACATAAACAGCATCAAATTTGTGAAACTTGCCGGAAATCTGGAAGCAGTTGAGTTTCAAGTATCATAACTTCTCAAGGTGTATCAAAATGAATTGACTGAAGATCTTGAAAAGGTAGGTTTTTTAGCGAAAGCAAGAGAGCAAGTTAAAAAATTTTTACGATTTTTTCAAAAATCATAGCTCTTCATGTAAACATCCGATCAGCACATCCCTTGCATAGTCAACGAGAGAAGGCCATATAAGGTGTGATTTCAATTGCTATTGATTTTAATTTAAATTTAAATTTCTGGCGAGCAGCTGTTGAAAAAATCGAATTTCACTGGTTTTCTCCACCGCTTCTACGCTTGCAAAATGTGCATTTATGAAAAAAATTTGGGCGGTACAAAGCTTTCACCTAGAATTTAGCCACTGTGTTTTCTACCATAAAATATACCCTTGATTTTTAGAAATAAACAGACAAGTGTCTCCTTGGCTCTCCGAACATCGTTATGCTCCATTTACGAGACTCCTACTTTTAGCTTCCTCGGCGGCTTTTCTGTCATTATAAAAGCCGCTGATATATGCCTACCCACCCAGAAGAATTCTCCGCTTAACTAGATGTGATATTCATCACGATTCTTAGTAACTGCTAATTTTATGATTGATGTTATCGCGGGAGATATTAGGCGCAAATGTGCTCTAATGAGAGCTTTGCAGCTGCAGCAGATAAGTCGCTTTGAAGATCATGAGAATATGATGAATATGATGATCTTATTCTATTGAATAAGTGATTTACTTTACCCATTAGCCGCGTGATTGTGAAGGCGAACAGGTAATAATCACAACAGCTTTCTTGGTCAAAGATTCATCTCAAAGTGGTTTTCTTGAACCAAAATTCGTCATCGAAAGAAAGAACTTTTTGCGCAAGTATCCTGAGAATGGATGCTTTGCTCGCACGTTTTTCTGGAACCATTCACTTTAACCAGACGGATTCCTTCCATGAAATCTTTGATGATATCGACGACTGATGAGCCCTTTACCTTGAGATCCCCCCACCCCGCTCGCCCAGGGTCCCTGACGGATTCGTCCGTTCCGGGTTAAGTTGGTCAGCCAAGCCCTGGTAATTGTGACGTCATGATGTTGCGTTCGGGCATGGGAACAGGAGCTCGGCAAAGGTACCCCTCATCGTTCGAAGGAGGAGAACGACCTGAAGAACCAGGAGGACGATCATTGTATTCTGTCCAGACGGTCCACTTATGTTACCTTTGTTGTTTTACTTTTGGAACACCATGTGTGTATACATAAATAAATAAATAAATATGATGATGATATTTTTAGGTTATGTTTTTCTAAGATAATATAGGGGGTCTTTCACCAGCTACTTCGCTACACCGCTTGATATCCGAATGGTAATATTACGGTCTACAATACACAATGCACTACTTTATCTTCACAGATCCTGCCAAGATTTCATGGAAGGAATCCGTCTGGTTAAAGTGAATGGTTCCAGAACAACGTGCGAGCAAAGCATCCATTCTCAGGATACTTGCGCAAGAAGTTCTTTCTTTCGATGACGAATTTTGGTTCAAGAAAACCACTTTGAGATGAATCTTTGACCAAGAAAGCTATTGTGATTATTACCTGTTCGCCTTCACAATCACGCGGCTAATGGGTAAAGTAAATCACTTATTCAATAGAATAAGATCATCCTAATAATGGCTTACATGAGGGTGGATGAAGGGCGGAAGATTGCCCTGTTAGTGAAATATTGTGCTAGTAATCTGATTATGTCAACGATTCGTTGATGTAATTTTTCACGTTCCGTTTGAATATGAGCTTCCGGGAAACTATTCCGAAGGCGTGCGCCAAGACCCAGCGACAAAATCTTCTAATAGGCTTTGGTATTTTTGGATGCGGGCATGTTGTTGTTGAGCGTGTTCACATTGTTTTGCCGAACTCAACCAATTAGTGGCGGTTAAAAGGTTCGAAGTTTCACAAAATTGGTTCCCTAATTTTACGCGCACAAGGCGCCCCTTTTTCGATTTTTTAAGCAAGCCGATCAGCCATTTCACTGTAATTCGGAAAGCAATTCTTATGCCTCACGGTTCTCTTAAAGGCAGTGGCTCGGCAAATCCGAACACCTCGAAATTTTTATGTGGAAGGTTGCTTGCATCCCGAACATGAGAACGGAGCAGGTCCGAGTGCACAGCATGCTGCCCCTGCCTAGAAAACTGCTCCTTAACCCGTGCGCGCAAGTCATTTTTACACCGCTCGGACGAGCTTGCGGTAACCCTCACATCGTCAGAGGCGGCATGCCGCAACGCTGTAAGCATGAGGGTCCCGCACGACTCTACGTCTCTAACCATTGCGGAAAGCGTTCCACTCGTCCAAATTCAAAATGAGAAGCCTTGAGAAATGCTGTTTTTCGCCATTTTTGCACTCTCAAAAGTGGATTTTCGGAATCAGCGCGTCGAATTACCCCAGTTAAGCGAAAAAACCACAGGTCAAGGATTTGCCGAGCCACTGCCCTTAAACAATACACAGCACGGTATAGGGCTTGATTGCGAAGTCCTCTGGCATATTGGCTGATCGAATTTGAAAAAATCCCCCGCGCCTTGTACGCGTGAAAGTGGAATACTTTCCCCAAAATCAGGTCAGGATTGATATTCACCGCAACATTCTGCTTTGAAAAAGCAATATAAACACATACATCTTTTACTTAGTAGTAGGAACAGTTTGCATCTAGGTTTACCACATTGGAGCAAATGTGCATTTGCAACCTGCACAAATTTTTTACATTTTCTTTGATGAAGGAATGGTACTAGGTGATCGATGATTTGTAAGAGTATACCGTCGAAAGCAGCTCCAAACGACGATTTCAAATCTATGCCTATTATCCGCTATTATTATTCAATCTTTTCAGAAATTTATGAGGGTTTTTTGGTAAAATTTACATAATTCTCAGTAATTAAAGTAATTTCAACGAATTGCCTGCTTACTGCTATTTATAGTTAATAGAGCAAACTAAAGCACTATGATTATTGTTAGTATTTGATAGACTTAAAAGCAATAAAGTAACATACCGATAACTCTGACCCTCTGTAACAAAGCATACTACCTTGAAAAAGGTATGATAGCTTGACTTGAAGGATCTTTTCGGAGACAAGCTCATTATTAGGAATTCTAGGTGAATTGTACCCCTTATGAAAGACATGAAAGGCCAGTTCAGTTCAATGTTAGACCAGGTTTCCTTCATTCGATTTTTCATATTAAACTCTTTTAGCTGAGTTGGACGCTCTAACTTTAAGTGTTTGTTAACGCAGTTTGCAATCAAAATAAAAATAAAAAATGCGAGATAATTCGGCAGTTTTTAAAGGTGCATAGATTATGCACACCTTTTCGTAAATGACCATGGTCACCAAGTATTCCTTTTTATAAAAAATGAAATACCACCATTTTTGCATCAATATAACGAAGACACTCAGAACTAGGAAGTGAATGTTCGTTGCATCCTATGAGGATGAGCTAATACTCAGTGAATTCATTAACTGACTAATCGAGTGGAAACTCAAAAGCTGTAATCACGCCTGCATCAAAAAATATGTTGTTGACCGCAAAAAGTTGTTCCGCCGCGACGATTACTCATTTTCAGAAACAAACATATGAAACGAGAACTCAGAGAACGTCAGCTGATTACTAACTCATCTGAGAGACGTTGATCACCCCATCTATGATATTTTTGTGGCATCTGAGCACAACAAAAGCACAAATATTTCTCAAGAATTGTGCAATAATTAAAATAATTTATCCTTTTTCCAGTTTGAATTAATAACACGAACTTGCAGAATTTAGAAGGAGACATGCAAGCTGCAAAGTTCCAAGTTTCTTCTGCTTCATGCGACAAATACTTTTAGTTTGAAAAGTGACAGATGGTAAGCCAAGGAAACGATTAAAACTTTCCAGAAAGGACAAAACTGCAAGCAGTCACGAATATAATATGCTATGTAAATATTACTGAATTTTCAAACAGTTGCTTCGACATCTGTCCTGTTAAGAAAGAAAATGGGAAAAGACCTAGAGGATACTCGCGCTCCTCTACATTTTGGAAAGTTGAGGTTATTTTGTATGAACGCGAAATTTGTGTAATATATCTTTAATTTTACAAATTTGGTTGAGATTGTCACTATTTGAACACTTCTAAAGAAAAATTTTGGAAAAAAAGGCTATTGGAAAGCGTCAGTGTAGCTTTCACCATCAGAGGTATCATTGCTATTCTTATTATGTGTTTGATCACAATTTTTGGATGCGCATTGTGGCTAACTACCTAAGTCTCTAAACCATAAGCCAAGGAAATAATGCGCTGACATTGTTTGAAGCGATTTGCTTTCTGAATGGGATTTGGGATGAAAATGTCCTCGAGATTAAAGGTGCAATGGCGCGCATGATATCAAAAATCCACGATACATAATCCAGTTTAATATGGCGGTTTAATACGATATAAACTACAATCCAGTCCTGATTGATTTTCTAAAAATTTCAGTCGATGCGTTGCGAAGATCAAATATTTCTTCAAATTCTTTATTTACGCTATGATGATATTTAGAAATCTGAAAAATTTTAATTTTTTGGAACTTTCTTCTGTTTTTTTTCCAAAATCTAAAGTTAGGGAAAACAGTTGAATACAGCGATCAAGATTATTCTCTCCGAGCAGATCTTTGTTTTAAGACTATGGCCTGCAATCTGGCCGTCCAAATGGTTCAAAACGTTTCTTTTCAAGGACATAATCTACTTAGCGAAAAGAATAAAGGAAGACCTTTTGAAGAATCTAATCTGTTCGAGCATGGATCAGTTTGGGTCCGGGCGGGGGAAGAGTGGAAGTATAAACTGACGGCTAAATTTACATCACCTCGTCATGACATCACTATAGTGCCAACTTTTGCTACCAAAAAAGAATAATACAAGAAACCGTGGCGCTGGATTAATAAATAGATAGTAGTTTTGCGTTTTCTACTTTTTTTCATATCTCCCTATCATCTCAAGAGAAGGAAAAAATTGCTCTCATGCACATTATCTACTGAAATTTCTCGACAAATGTTTTCTTTGCGTGCACAAAAGCCATCATACTGGCAGTAGTTATGGACTTTCGTGAATATAACTGGCAGGGTTGTCAATCATATAGGATGCAAATAAAACGGTGAAAGCATCTCGAAAAAAGAACTAGAATAGAACAATCAGAAATCTCAAGCATCAACTCAAAAAAAAACACGCTGAATGGTGTTTTTTTTTCAAACCCTCTCTTATCCCGTATCGCTCGTTTCCTTGTTTTTCTTTCCAATGAATCATGATTTGCCAATGTGATTAATGTTCACTAATGAACGTCTCAGGAATGCAAATTACAAAATTGCTGCAAACATTCCGTTGCGAGCGAAATAATTAATCAGCAATAGTGCAAAATCAATCGGCAGCTAAAAATCAGTTTGCAAATGAGATAAATATCATGAGCTGCTCAACTCCTGCATCTTTTATTAACACTTTAGTGGTGTTTGAGAATCTCAAAAAATTAATGGTAGACGGAAGCAATGAAAAGCAGAAGTGACATAAAAGCAGTCGAATTAATGATTCATTTGCCATTCTAGCAAGTTTTTTAGTCAATTTGCTAGAATTTTTGATTTTCCATCTACTACATCATCGTTAAGCCGGATAAGAAAAAAACCGAAGACGCAACCTCATTCAGAGCTGAATCTCTGAGGAATTTTTTTTTCTTGATGGTTTTCTTGATGGTTTTGCGCGGCGACCGCTTTCACAAATTATTTGCTCCTTTCAAAACAGCGAACAAAAAAAGCATTGAATAATCTAATGAGGTGAGCAGAAAGCACAACTAGCTCTAGAGATGACTTCTCCTATTGACATAAATGCATTAGTAAACAGGAAATGAACGAATCAAGAGGTTACACACTAGTTCAAAGAACCGCTCTATAATATGCAACTCTATACATAAGTAAGCGGCTCTTGCAGAGAAACTTGGCCCATCTTCAAAACATTTTGTTTTTCTTTCCGGCTCCGGCAATTACAATGTTATCTCATTGCAGATCGCAGGAGTCTCGGAAATGTAAATGGAAAATGGACGAGGGGTTTCGTCACATAAAAGCCGAGAATGTTCTATTATATCGCCGTGCCCCGAGTATAGTAGAGCACATTAGAGGGGGCCTCGAAGTATTAATGTCTGTATTGTTTGCAATGAGTTCTTTGAATATAATTACTACTTCTAAGAGATGCAGTGAAAACGCTGGCAAAATGCCAGTATTACAGTGCACCATTTTATTTATTATGATAAAAAAAGGCCCCATATAGTTTTATATATCTGAGCCCTATAATTTATACTCGGACTCTACAAATGGTGATAATGGTAAGAATGGTGATATTGTATGTATGTGATATGGTAAATATGGTTAGCTATGTCGCCAGTTATATTATTACAGCATGACTTTGATATTACTACTATTATTATTGATATTCTTATCATTATCACCATTCTAGTTTAACGAATGCCAAGCCTTCACTCCTTAATGGGAGGTTGAGAAGAGCTGTAGGTTCTTGTCCAAGATGAGGATCGGAGATAGAAAAATTTGTGCATCTAATGACATTGTTTTTCTTATACTTTAAGGGAGATCATAACTTAAGATTTCTATCTCCATAAGTATTCCTATAGCTATAAAAACGATCAACCTATATCGATTTACTCTCTGCTGTCAAGGATTTGATCTCAACAGAACTATAAACAAGTGCTTTGAAGGACGACTGAAATTTGATGATAGGGAATGATTTACTGGAAAAACACATGATGAAAGTTTGAGATTAGGTGATCTTATTTTTCTAGCTTCTGGAATTTTAGAAAAGGCCCAGACTTAGAATTTTATAATATTTTGCTAAATCATCGAATACCCGAATACACTGAGAGGTAGTAGTAGTATTTTGAAAGAAAGATTGGATTCTGCAGTTTGTAGAGATCCATAAGGATCTGGCGGATGAGATACCGCATAGATAAACAGAATAAGGAAAATTTCAAAAAAAATTGAGGTTGTGATTTTCCCCGTGGTCTAAGCATCCTAATGAACTTACATAGTAGAGCTGTCGCTTTGCGGCAGCGGCGCTGAGAGCGGCGGTGAGCAGGAGGCTGAGCAGCACTTGCAGGACTCGACTCGACATCTGAGACTACCGTTCGTCGGGGGTTGGCAGGGGGCTCGACCCACGCTCGTCTATGCAATGACAGTTACGTCGGACTCCGCCTTCGCTGGCAGACGCTCTCTTCGAGTTTGTGGTGGGGGGCGTGGCCGACCGCCTAGAGCATTACCGTACGCTTGACGGGACCCACGTCACGCTCTATTGTGCCAATAACGACCTACGACAGACATATTTCTCGGGTTCTCGGAGATAGGGGTTTTCTAGCGTGGTGCAAGTCTGATGAAGCAGAAGATTGTGATGAGCAAAAAAAACTCTAGTTAGCCTTGCTCGTTTTTTCTGTGCTTCTGGAATTTGTCCAAAATATTCTTGATCACAAAGCATATATTCGAGAGTTTCCAGGGGTTGTTGAAGGCATTCTTGGCCTGGTAGGGTAGAGTTAGGGATGCGGTAATGCTGCGAAATGGACAGTACTATAAAATATTTTTTTGTAACTTTCGTAAACTATAGATCTCAACAAACGCATAAAGCTTTGAGAACTAAATGTTCATTTGGTGTTTATTCGTAGTCCGAAAGTTTATCAAAATTCCCTATCCAAAAACAGGAAAGCAATAGAGTCATATCTCCGAGGTTCAGGGAAAAATAACTTTTTTCGCTTTTTTCTTCATTCCAGTCTTTCAATTCAATCAAATAATAGGTTTTAATTCAAGGTTCGCGCAAAATTGCATAGCATGTTTTATTCTCGGAAATGCAGAACTACAGCGAGTGAAGTCACGTACTTTTCCCTAATCGTAGAAAATCATTTTGCTGCAAAATGGCCACCCGCAATTTCAATCATGTGATGCTGAGGATCTTCTAGACTGAAGAACAGCGAAATACGAGTTGTGAGAAAAACTTTGCATGCTTTGACAGAAGGAATAGAAAAGAGTGTGGAAGTTATAGGAAATAAGAACAAGCAGCGCCAGCAGATAAAAAACTCGGTGCAGAGAGCTTTCATTTCGATTTCAGTAAAATGATTGGAAGGAAACAATTTGTGAACAAGTGGTTTTTATCTAACTACTTTACTGCTTACGACAGATTTTGATTGAAGTGCAACAAAGTGTAGGATTAGCACACTAACATGAAAATCATTAAGTTTTGCTGCAGATATCAAATTCTATAGTTAACTTATAAACCTACAAAACCTTACACCTTCATGCTGAATATCGCGAAAAAGTGTAAAGTTTTGTGGGGTTTCTTGTGTCGGCTAAGCTCCGAGCAAGTCGTAAGTTCTATACTTACCATGCGCTACTTTAATTTACATTCCTGAGTCAATTTGGACCCGGTCATCTTACCGCCACAGTTTTTTGTTGCTATGAGTTTTTTTTTGTTGTTTTGCTAAGTTGTTCCGAATGTTTGTGCCGTTTTTGAACCCATCATAGAAACACGTGAAATAAATATAGGAAAACTCGCTTAAACACATTATTCAACGCAGTCATTTCTCTTTCTTGCAATGGTTATCTGGAACTGGCCACTTTTATGGCTAAAATAAACGCCGATTTGAACACATGGTCTTGACGATTTCAGCGTCAGCGATTTTTCATCACGTCATTTTAGACCTTCGGAAGAGAACAGAGAACAGGCAGATAGAGCAATTATTTTACAAAGCTTCACATTTTTGCCATCATTAGCTGCTATTCGAAATCTCTTCACTAATGTTTTCTGATATAACCAAATTTCATATTCACTCAAACCTCATGTTACCAATGGGAGAGCTCGATCGTCATTCCATGACCTTTTCCCCTCTTTCGAGGCTTTCTTCTGCCAGTGGAAGCTTCGCGGATGAAATTGTCATAATAAATGTTAGTTTGACTACGCTAAGATGTACTCGAAAATATCCGAATTTTCAAGGCGAAATGCTCATCTTGTAAAATTGGTGATGAAAGTTAAACAATTTTTGAAAGTTTCCGAATTCTGAGGATTTGTAGTGTTGGATGCATTTGCGTATGACATGCCTTCGTAAAAGTGAAGACTTCCGGTAAGATACACTGAAAAACACTGAGTGAGAAGAAGCCAAACAAAAATGCCTAAAGAAACTCATTGTATAACAAGGTGTTTACTCTATTCATTTGTTACCAAAATTTTTTCGACACTCCAAAACGATAATCTTCAAGATTTTCAAAATTACAGTTCAAAATCTCGGCAGCTTTGGTAGCCACAAGGGTGACCAGTTCAGAAACAGAAACGTAGCTTCGAAAATAGGAAAGAAAAATAAAAAGGATAAACTTCAAAGTGTTTGCCTAACTTCATCCATGCTTTTTTATCGAACTTTCGGAACGAGCAAATAGATCAGAAAAGGTTCAAATTTTCAGCAACAGAGTAATGACAATGAATTGACTAGTTTCAAATTAATTCAAGATAGATGAAGCATGTAGCAGATTATGGAAGCACGAATATAGAAACTTCTGGGCTTTCTGTGTCTAGCCGGGCTTATAAAAAAGGCATAGTTTTTTGTACCGCTACCTCTTCCGATTTATTCCAAAAAATGCATACCTAAGAAAAATGTAATGTTTGTAGAGCGAGTTCATGTTCAAAAACCTGCAAAAGCTGCGTAATAAATGAGTGACTAAGCCGGAGGCAGGTTGTTGGCTCCCATTTTGGGGTCTCTGATGGTTTGAACCAATCAAAAGACCCAAGAGAGAAGAGTGACTTAATTGGTACTTGGGCCGACCCACCATCTTGTCTACACTATACGACAGAGAGTAATCTTTACTACACGCTTTTTGAAAAAGTCGCAGCTTCCCCAGAAAGTAAATTCTGGAGCCTACTGTCAACATGCTAGCTCTCAATTACGATTCTGTCAAGGAAATGTCCAGCAGTTTTTCTACAACAATATATATTCTCAAAAAATGAGAACAATATTTTAGCCCATCCCCAGATAATCCTGCCATTCCTGGAGCTTCCCCTTTAGTCTTTTCTTGAGCAATAAAAAAAGAAATAATTTGCATACAGAATAGTGATCACGACCCAAGAAGCGCAAAGTGCTCTGTTAAAAGTAAACCCCCATAATTTAATCCATAAAAGCAAGGCAAACCTTCTAGTGATTCAACTTAGTTTTTTTTTTTACAAATCCATACTAACTTTAAATAATCCTCCTCATTAGACCGCTGAGAGACTGTGATTTCTCTCAAGATAGCCACTTTAATTCTGCTTTGAATGGCAAAGCAATCCAATCGTCTAAAGTTTTTCGTCGATGGCTGGCGCTAAGCTTCTAACGGAGGGCTTCTCCTTTCTTCCTCTTTATAGCGTAGGAAGGAAATCAACAACCTTTCAAATAAAGGGAGTAGCGCTTGGGCAGATCGGCAAACGAGCTTCAGCCTCTCTCGAACCTTAGTGTCACGCTGAACCAACTTATAATGCCTTAAACAGTGGAACGGGATTTTTGCGCCCCTTAGAAGAAAGAGGCAAGGTTAGGTGGAGCGATTCAGTTATCGAAAAAAGTTGTGTGGAGATTGCGGAGGAGCTCTATAAGTGATGTTGCAGCTTTGCAGTACATAAAAGTGGGGCGGGGGGAGGGGGGGGGGGGAGGAGGAGGAAGTGGCTAGCATGTGGCATTCTCCCCATTTTTGCCCTCACTTTCAAGCAAACAAGTATGAAGTCACCGCTTATTTTTCTTACGTTCGAAAAGTACACCGTTTGATTTTTTGGTAGAAGTTCCTTCAACCTTACCCATGGTTTCTTTCATGTTAATAGCTAAATCAGTATACGAAGCTTTTCTTCTACATAAAAATTTTGACAAAAACACGATTTGGGACGATTAGAAATTAGCTAGTCTCTTCACTTCTCTGGTCACAGAACGACGAATCGTTTTGAAAAATGAAGCCTTTCAAGGTGCGTAATATCCTTCGCCCTTCAATTTCTGAAGCAGTACATGGAAACGTGCCATGACGAAGATACTTAGTGAGAATATGGCTTCTTATTCATAACAGTGTTTTTCAGATCACTATCAGAAAAAGTGCTGTTGATCTACTCAAATAATCGACAAATCAAGAGTTCATTATGACTACACTTCCTTGGAGAATGCCACGATTAATCCTTTTGAGAATTACGAATCCTAGAATAAGTTTACTTATTGTTAGGAAAGGCATTCATTAGATTCCAGCTCAAATGACGTGACATAAAGTCGTTGCCCGCAAAGTGCAGATCATACACCTGGACTAATTTACATCATGCAAAAACCATTCCTATTTGCTCTTATTAATCAACTTTTGTTCGCAGCTACCGTCAGATTCAGACATGGGAGAAATTGGACGCTACTTTCGAGCTCACTATGCTTACACATACATACAGCAGCCATCTCCTGATTAAGAATTCTAGCTTATATATATTTCACTATTATGCATATCGAGTAATCCGGATTCTTTTGTGGGGCTGATAGAGATTGCGGGTAAACATGGAACTAGCATATTTGTTTGCTATTCACACGGATGTTCATCTCATCCATGTTATTAACGGAAAAAGAAGTAGGATCTTGGACAAGTCTTTAGAAATTATGCAGTTGTGAGTACGCATACATCATTAGTTTTGCCCACAAATTTTTTGCTGAAATCGGGGGGGGGGAGAGAACCTTCCCAAAGAGTGAGTTAATCCCTTGAATATTTAATGTTTCTAGGATTTGAAACGGGCCCATAACATCGAATGACAGTAGTCACAAATTTTAGAAAACTCTTCAGAGTTGATCCAAATTCACAGATAAAATAAGTATACGGTTTTATGACTCATGTAGCATTTTCGGAAATGAATCCATTCTCGAAGGCTAAGGGAGGGGGGCTAAAAGATGAACGCTGGGAGACGAACTGAGAAGACTGGCCCTTCAAAGGAATTTCACAAAATTGTCGGTACTGGTGCACACTACTTAAATGCGCAAGTTATTGTCATCTAGGATGACTGAAACGAGTGATATCTATAAGAATATAGCTTCGTAGAAGAATTTTAGAGTAATATTTAGAATCACGACTTCCCTCAAGGTATCGACTAGAGCCATGCCCTCCATTTATAACATTCCAGTCGTACTCAAAAAAATATTTATTGTGACTGTTACAATACTTATGAGCTACAATAGTTACATTTGCGCTTGAATCGTTGACAAAGCGAATTAGTAGGTTTTTCTATACATAATAATAAGCAGTTCTTTGTACAGCGCACAAGTGATATGTAATCAGATCTACTATTCAGGCAAGAAGGACTGTGGACTTGGCTTTCAAAATTTGCGCAGCTTCTTCGGTTAGCTTAGTTGTGGTACACCACATCTCAACAATAGGTGGATATTAGCAAAGCTTCGACATTCAATTTCTACATAACCCTCGTGTGCGGATACAACTCAAAAGCTGTGACTGCTCCCATTGCTTTGTCCTTACTTTTTTAGTTTTTAAGTAACAGCAGAGGTTTATGGGAGGAACTGTGCTACTAAACAGTGCAGTGCAGTTTAAGCTCCCTCTAGAAGAGATTCTTGAACAAAGGTTCAATTCCTCACAACGTGCAAACCTCCTGTATATGCCATGCAGTGTCTACAGCTAACTGTCTATTGATCTAAATTCCCGTAAAAGTTGTAGATGACAATCATTTAGAAAATATTTAGAGAGAATTGGTCCTATTTTCCCCTATAAAGCAACAGCTATCAGCGCAATTTTTGATGTTAACAATGAGTTTTACCTCCAAAGCTGTGCCTGCTTCCTCATCTTCTTTATGATATGCGGAATAAAATTGCCTCAGGCGGTAACAAGTTCGATGTCAACATACGAGCTCTGCAAACTACCTCAGACGCTAGTAATCTACTTGAAAGAGGTAAGGGGTGAGGGGGTGGGGGACATTCAAGAGTACGGGTATTACTCAAAAAATGGAAAGCATGATATTTGCTCTAACAAGGGAAGGATGATTGGTCGAAGTGGCCTTTTGAGATGGGTTGTATACATTGGAGGGCGTAAATCGCTGATTCCAAGTCTGTCTTCCTTATCTGCGGCGCATTCCTGGAGGAGGAGCTATTAGCGTTTAAAGGAGCAAGAAATGAGTGTTCTTCTGGGATAAAAACAGTTGCTAAAATTATCCCAGAGTTTGAATGAGACAGCCAGAGTGCAGATATATCTCTCCTAAGAGTATTTATTTTATAGAGTGCTGGAAAGATTATCACTGGTCCATTTGAGCGCTAGGAATAATGTTACTACTGTTTTCATATTATTTGCACATACAATTTTTTTCAATAAACGCTCATAACTTCTCGTACAGGAAAGCGCCGCAGATAAGGAAGACAGGTTCCGGATCACTGTTTTGTGCCCTACAAAATGGTATACAAATCATCGCAAAAGGCCACTTCAACTGCCCATCCTTCCCTTGTAAGAGATAACAAGGTCGAATCTTCTCATCCGATCAGATCTGCTTTGAGTGCAGCTAGCAAAACTACACCATCACACTATGCATCTCGCACAATAGTCTTACAAAAAGATCAAAAACCTCATTCTTGCATCCTCAAATTAAAATATTGTTCATTGTCACTTAGTAGTTCAGGGCTTTTGAAGTCGCCATAATTCACCTCAAAATTATTTGATCAATATTCGACCTTGACCATATAACATCAGGTTATTTTGGTAGATTTAACGGAATATTGCTCACTCGTATTGAAACATTTACTATTACACACCATTAGCAAGACTCTCAGTACACATTGTATACCTTTCAGTTTCATTTCCCATGAAACATTCGCGTTGACAGAAACGAAGATGAAAGTTTATCATAAATGCTTCGTCAAAATGAAACACGTGAAAACAATAATGTAGAAAGTAGATAAGTGAAATCAGGAACATTTTGGCACAAGAATACAGGCGAAGTGCTTATGAAATGGCTAAACAAGATTTCAGGATAGATATAAGCATACTGAAAAGAGAACATACAAAAGTAGACGAGTGCCTTCAATTCAGCAGATCATAGTACATCACTCTATACAGTGGTACTTGAATAATAGATTGAGGTTTAGAAAGATTGCTTAACGTTCACATGCAAAAACAGACCTAGATTGGGCTTTGGTATATGCTTTGGTATTTGTGGTCACTAGCTATGAGCATACAATACCTCTCATAATTCGTCGAAAAAGTCGCCGGACTGCGGCGCACTCCGCCGCACTCCGCTGCAGTGACTTTTTTTTTGACGAAATATGAGCGGTATTGTACAGACTTAGTTGCTGATCGCCCTTGCAAATACTACCGTTTGCTTTTACCTATGTTATTTCGGACGAAGTCTGAGGTAAGAGTCGATAAAGGGGTAACCTCGCTTTCATACTAAATTCTCATTTGATTTTCAGGGGTTTCTCCAAACTATGTTCTGCACTTTAAGATTGAACAAAGCTTTTATTCCTCGTGATATCTGATTTCTAAAAAACTCACGACTATTGAAAATTTTCAGAAAAGGGTAAGTTCATATTTGGAACCAGCATCCCATGAGCATCTCCGCTTTATAATCTGCTCCAAAATGACGATCAGCGAGTATGTTGATCCCTTGAAAGCAAAAAATTGATTTCAAAAAGTAAGCAGCAGCTTTCTGCATAACGTGAAAATTGTTGAAGATTCTATTGACTATTGCATAATCGCTGTTTATCAATGCTATAAAGCAACGGCTAGTACAATCGGATTTATACTGCAAGAGTTCGACATGGAAAATGTTTTGGTAATTACAAACCAAGCCATTTACTTCCTTGAAACATGAAACATGACCTAAGCAGCATTTGTGCGTGCCTTCTTCGCCTCACCTTGAAGCAAAGCAGCTTTACACCTTCAAAAGTTTAGAGGCTACTTTTTTGAGATTAGAACTTAAAATCTGCCACTGTTCTATTCGATCGTGTTGCTTGAATCAAAAAGAAGACATATTATGACCGCTGATACTTTGAAAGACTAAAAAGCAACACAAACGTTTTTGCCCAAACATTCATGCAATATCTCCTTCCTGCAGCACCTAGAACATGCACTTTAACAAATCCACGAGGTGAGATGAGAACTAAAGTAGCACTGACGAGGAACACGCAATTATCCGCAATAATCAAAACCAAAATATCAGACCTGCCTCAAAATGACAATAAGACTAAGTATTATGACCACGCAACCAATGAAAGGCTCGACCGAAATGACTTCGGAAACACGCAAGTACGCTATGATGCATATACCTACGTGTGAGTGTGAGATTGCACTATTGAAAAATTGCAGATGAACTGCCTCCTACACAAGGATCACACTGAAGAAGAACGTTTCACACCAGGAAAAAAGTAGAACTGTTTGATGAGCCTTGAATGGAACTCAGGCATCTGAAACAAATATAGCACTGAAATTATTTGGGATTACAGACGTTATCAAAGGCTACTAGCCATATCCGAACGCAAGGATTATCCCGATTTTGGAGCTTTTCTCTTTGGAAGTCAGTTCAAAGACAGTACGTTGGCGAACTTGAGATTATTCGGACTTTGATATTATTATACAGCAAAGCCTTGAAGTTGCCAAAGAAGGCTTGCGCGAAAGGATACTACTTGTCTCAGCATGAGAGTTTTGTCGCTCAGATCGATGCAGTTTTGCAAACATATCTAACAAGGGAACGATACTCGATGTCCGTGGCCTTTTGAGACGAGATATATACCATTACACTCGTCTTCGAACGCTGATTCCGAATCTGACTTCCATTTCTGCTAATCGTTTCTCTGAAAGAAGTTATGGAAGAATTTCGAGCCAATTTTGGCCGCCCAAGGGTATGGTCACCAGAACGGCCTCTACCGGCGCCACGTTATTGTCTAATGGTTAGTCTGATAGCCTCATAACCTGATGCAGGTGTAGGTTCAGATCCTTTTGTGTTTTTATTTTGCACTGCCTCAAACAAACTTTTTCGAGATTTACTCGAATTATGATCATTGGATACATTTTAGCGCAAATAGTAATCATTTTTTTCCAAATTTCCACATTTTTTGAAGAGTAAGGGCGTCAGATAGCTCGAAGATGCGAAAGAAGCTTTATTGAGGCAATGCAAAACTGAAAAACACGAAAAGATTCGAACCTGCACCTGCATCACCTCATGAGCCTATCGCACTAACCACTAGAAGACACACGAGCACCATTACTCTTGGCGCTCCGAAAGTATTTCACTGGGCAGCCTAAGCCCGCACAATCCTTTGTAACATCTTTGAAGCGATTAGCAGAAACGGAAGTCAGATTCTGAATCAGCGTTCCAAGACGAGTGTAATGGTATACAACTCATCTCAAAAGGCCACGGACCCCGAGTATCGTTTCCTTAAGACTTCAGATCTGATGAGAATGACCTTAGCTAGTTATTCAGATGGTCTAATAGATAACACTAACAGATACATAGATACATACTTGCTTGTACGAAGAAGAGCAATTTGTCTGAAAGCACTCCGCCACCCTTTGATTTACTCTTGTGAGCAACTGCAGAATATCCATATCACGCGCATGCTTAGCAAACACCTACAAAAATACTATTACTTTGAGAAGAAAGATGAAAATAGTGCTCCACCTCACAAACCGCTTGCACAAACCAACTGCCTCGAAGACTATTACGCCAAGATACATACGTTGGCGGAGTGGCGTATGCTATGAGAAAGTCAGATTCACGCGGTCTCAACGATGTGGTCTGAAGATTGGGATAATAATTTGTTCTTTCCTTAAGCTTCTAGTAGTTGTCTCCTCACTTCGACGACTGCCGGGCTTTGTATGCACTTGAGGAATCCAAATGGGCCATCAGTTTTATGGTGAGCCGTATCGACTTGATCCATATATGCTACACCAGTATCGCGTCGATCTGAAATGTATGAGTGGAGGACGTGCGCGCAAATATGAATTACACGATTATGAAACTGTGCAAGTAACTTGATTACAATTGTAAACGTAAAACAATATTTTGAAAGCTTTGAAAATTCTGATTTTATGCAAAAAGCAGGAACGAAGAAATTCTGTGCTTCCAGAACTTTTGAAGGGAGTATGTTACAATATGATTATTAGAAAAGAAAAAGGATTTCTGTCCTGCCTCATTCAGAAAAAAATTTTCCTGGGACTACCACTGATGTGCACAGGGAGTTTAGAAAACAACGCTACAAGAATCAGCATTGAGAATGATCTCGATATTACATGCGAACACCAGAATTCTCTTACTAAGAACTTAAGTAAGGCCCCGGACAGACTTCACGCGATTTGATCGTCGCGACTGAATCGCGACGAGACAACTGTTACAACATCATTCCATGCCGATCAACTTTCATTTCGGTTGTGATACTTTTCCAGCCCAAAATTTTTGAATGTGAAATGAAAATGAATGGAAATGTCGGCGAGTGAGTCGCGACGATCAAATCGCGTGAAGTCTGACCGGGGCCTAAGACAGCTGTCAACGGCTGAGTGCAGAAACAAATTGTGCGCAGATTCCTGACTTTATCTGCATAGTGTAGCTAGTAGTACCATAGGCAAAATCTGGTCTGGATGGAAAACTTATGTAAAGCTGTGCACACTGATAGCTGTAGAGCCATGCGGCTCAAAACTAATCTTGAATCCTAATAATCCACGAAAACTAAATTTCAGCGATCATCGCGAACACTGCACATCTTTGATCTGTGTTAATGAATGTGGCGTTATGTGGGTTTTCATCAGGTTTGCAGCTTGGCGAAACTTCATGCGCTGCCATGCTATTTGCGTCTCATTCAAAAGGAACTGGACCCTAATGACGTAGAGCAATTATATGCTACTTGCAAAGCGATGGTTGCATATCGCTACAAGGAAATACGGGGAATGTGCACCACTTGTCTAAGAGACTGATTTCGATGAAGCTGCATAATCAGAGGAATATGTCTGACTTTTGTTACTCATGGTATCATGCCAGGTTCCTCATTAATAGGAAAATAAAAAGGTTAACCTCCTCTGCAGGCCTGAATGAATACCAGCTTCGGTTTGCCTGACAGCAAAGGAGCGTTCCGTGCGTTCAACGCTTCTAGTACAGGATATATCGACAAGATGTCATCATCACCGCCAACACCTGTAAAGCTCACAAAATAAATGCAAGCGTGAACAAACATCGCTTTAGGGAAGATTTTATACAGCACAGTTTCTAAATTCAAAAAATATGGCTATCACGATCCCGCTCCATAAAAATCATCTCACTAGCATTCGTTTTGTCTGCAGGGACTGATTTCCAGTGAGAGACTGGGTATCCCTGAGGTTGGACTAACAGGAAGAGTCAAGGGCGAAGTGGGGAATTCGCTGATGCATAGCGATACTAAGGTCTTAAAGCATCGCAAAATGCTTCTGGGAAAAAGTTATACGCTTTTTTTCTTCTATAAAATCAGTCTTTCCTTTACCAAGGCGTATCCACTTTCCAGTAATGATGATATGGCATAGTGGTGCGTGGTCTGCTTCCAAGGCTTTCAAGGCGGTAGGGGTACGGCTCCTATTGCCAAACAATTTCTTGCATTTTTTTCAAACGTATATTTTTGCTCCATACACCGACGGATTGTAATGAGATACAGTTGTTCTACCTTCTCGACAAAACTTGGAAAGTTTTGAAAGCGTTGAGATGGTTCGATGATATCTGACACGTCAAAAATGTACAAAACTGACTGTGCCATCCTAATCGTGTACAGTGAAAGAAGCGAAAAAAGCAAAAATTCTCCACCTTATAGGAACCTTAATCTGTTGGCCGCAAGATGAAGCTGCTCACCACTAAATCAAATCACCAATACACGCTGCGATGCCTTGCCGCGCCTTTATCAAGAAGAGGATGATTTACCAAGACTATAAACGCTTATGACCTTTTTTCAGATAAGAAAGGAAGATTTTTGATTTTCTTTTGTTTTTTTTTTGTTTTTTTTCCATTTCGTTACAAGATCTCAGTGCTGGTACGCACTCTGCGGGAATGGGCCACTTTGAGTTCGCAACTTTTTTGTTGAAATAAATACTCTATAGTTTCTGCAATCCCTATGGATTCCCTCAGTCGACAACAGAATCCATGCCCTTATGCTGAAATACTTACCAAGCAGCTGATCCCTTTCTCCATGTGTAAGTATGATCAAAATCGCTGATGATGAAAAACGGTGTCCTGCATCATTTGCAAATGTCCTAACCCGTGTAAGCATCTCCTGCAACATCCCTCTATACTGCAAAGTATAGAGGGATGTTGCAGTATTATTCTAGTATTATTCTCCCTAGTTCAAAAAAGCAATCGCTGACCTTACATGTGAGATCATTCTCCACTATCACTTTGTAACCTATCTGTCCAAATAAATTCTTGAGATTCACGCAATCAATTTCTGTGCCTTGTCGCCGTGGCATAGACGAGAAGTTTTCGTTGTTGATAATGAGACAAAGACCTTTAGGAGTGGCAAAGTTCGGGTATATCTGAAGCAAGATTATAATTATCGAAGCAACACTAACGCCGAAAGTTTTCTAACCAAATCACGATTCCTCATATACATCTCCACCTGTGGACAGGAGTTGCTGTCAACGAAATCAACCTTGAGATCGTCTAGTACACCAGCTGGTTGCATTGGAGGCATATAAGATGTCGAAGGGCCTGAAGTAAATAGACCTATATACGATGAAGAATGTGTACGCAATAGACTCACCAGTACCATCCATTTTACTAGGAGAGGATGGATTCGGATGTGATGCACCGTTCAAAGGCTCATTTTCACTGGAAGAAGTACTTCAGATAACCGTTTACATGGTGCTCTTGTCAAAGGCTTACGAATGTGAACCTCGCTTTGTTTTTCGGGAAAGTTTGTAGGTTCAATCACAGGCATTGTCTATTTACTGGACTTTTGGTATGAAAAAAGAAAAACCCAACTCTAAACTCCAGCACCGCGTAATCTTTCCGAGTCAAAATCATCCTTCAGTAAGGTATGTAGGTGGTACAGTCTAGGCGGGAGTTTAGGGTCAAATTTCTCGGCTCTAGATAAATGTTAAAAGTTGTCTCCTGAGACATGACTCAGTTGAGGAAAATCAGTTTCCACGTGACTCGAATACCCAAATTTGGCGAACATTACCTTTATGCTGCTGCTCGCCTTATAAGCACACGATATACAAATTTTGGGATGTGATTATCGGAACGGTATGCGTACTGCCAGTTCCGTACTTTTTACAATATAGCCTATTCAAGTTTTGAGTAAAGCTATTTGGATTTATGCATTCAACAATACCATTGCACCGTAGTCCATAAAGTTGGATCACGATACACAGCTTTCATAACACTTTCTCAAACAGCCTTATCACCGCATTTGAAAACAGGAAAAATCTTACATTGTTTGGAGCACGTCTTCATCAATTAGTGGCCTCAAAAGATCGGCTAGATGAGATTGTCGCGCGTAGAGCAGCGCCCGAAACAAAGCATCATAAGCTTTGTCACCTCTCGATTTTACAGCACGGATGATGGCGACTCGCTTGGCAGTTGTGCCTCCAGAAGACTAGAAAGAGTAAAATTATTGAGAAACTTACATGACTGTTAGTGCACTTCGAAAGATATCTTTTTGAGTCTCTTAAGAAACTCTTTCAACAAATAATTTTGAGCGCGCCATGAGATATGTGCCGTTCGGTAATCTACAGTAGCTTCAACACGATTTTCTATGGATAATTCCTACACTAACTTATTTCCAGTGTTGGTAAATGAAGCATCTAGCCTGTTTTCAGACCAGCGTGGAAACTATACGCAAGCAAGTTAGCAGGACTATAGCAGATTAACTTTCTTAGGATGCGTAAACAAACTTATTACAATTGTACAGCCTTACCTCGCTAATAAAAATGACTATTGAGTGGCATTCGCTGACTATGAGACTTGCAACAGTTGCATAATAGTGGATTACCTTTTGGCAAGTAACAGTTCTGATAAATGAAAACCCATCCTCGAGTCAAGCAATTTAAACTGAGTCATTTGTATCAAATTACTCGAAAAACTGAGTAGTTGCACTAACGGTTGCTTCCGTTTCAAAATCCAGATACAAATAATTATGACATATGAGTTACAAGTTGAGCCAGCATGAAAGTATGTCATTCTCTATGAGACACCGTTCTGGTGGGGAGACGGTCAAGAGGCGCGATTTCTCCGGCTGTCACCAACTTGAAACTCCAGTTTAGTGCCATGCGAGTCTTCAAAAATTACCAGATGAAGTGCATTAGCCTACTGTCTGTCTGAGGTCACCACCTGCTAAGTTCTGGTGCAGCTGTAACAGTACAGCAATGACCAGGCTTTTCAGACTTCGTTCTAAACCATTTAGGCAAATTATCCGCTCACCAAAACTTTGTCGACGACCAGATCCGGGAACACTCCTTTGCTTTGCAGATAGAGAAGCACATCGTCAACATCCATTTCCCGACTCAGATCTATAAGACTTCTGTCCAAAAGTTGACGCCGCTCCGGCCGCATCATGCTGGTGGCGACTGCTTCTATTGTGTCCTATTAGCTGCTTCTGCTGAGAGTAGAAGTAATACTCACTATACGATATGCCGTTCAGAGGTCGGATTCACATGTTGGGTAATAGTTGAGAATTTCTATTGCGAACTAAAAGAGCAGGAAAATTCTTTCAAAAAGTTTTGATTGGATAGATTGAAACGGGAGTAAATAATGAGCAGTGCTTACAAACTAAAATTACTGTAACAGACAGAACTCCTTATACGTTTGACCTTATTTCAGCTTCATTCACACCAATAGGCATAGTTTCATCTCACAAAGAAACGAATCCGAAGGAGATGAGGACAGATGAACGAAAAGAAAACAGGCGCTGTTTTTTTTTTCTATTTGGAAGAGAACTTATTAACCCCAAAAATCACTAGTAGAGATTGAATTGAGGAGATGGAAGATTCTTAAAAAAACTTATAATTTGGAAGAGCTTTTTGCAGAGAGCTGTCATGAGAAGGGGTTCTAAGAAAAGTAGAAAAGGAGCAAGAAAATTTAGAAGCACAGATTATCGAGTTATATGAGTTCAAAAAAAAGGTAAAGAAGATGGTAACCGAATGGGTGCGGACTCCTATCGGCTGGACAACGGAATTCCTACTTAATAGTATAGGACAGCTTGCTATAAAGCTTTACCGTGTGTCAATTAGAGAATGAATAACTCGAATGGCCGTATAATGGATGTGAAGAGAACAAAGAGACAGCGCATGCAAATTTCACGATGGTAAATGCAATGCACGAGATATGACCGGGTAACGATAAAGGTTGATGGTCTGGCACATAGCGGATATTGTAGCGATAATTACGCTTTGCAAAGAACAAAACGACAAATTTGATTTTCATGGATGACGGATACAAAAGAAGAGGAAACATAATATATTGGTACTAGCATAATGTATTGGGAATACATAAGGGATAAATCTTCAGAATCCACATTATAATTTACATAGAAGAAAATGATTGAAAGCCAAGCCACTGCTCAGAGCAGTCAATAGACTAAAAATTCAAGCGTAATTTGGCAGTAGCGAGGTATATTTTTCTTTCAGAACTGAAGATCTGAGAGCAACGACGATTGATTAGAGATAAATTCCAACATTTAATTAAACACATTCTCATATTTTAAACAAGCAAAGGCGTTGACACATTCAGTTTATACAATATTATACGCAGAAATGGTGCACGCACCAATCGCCGGCTGGATGCGACGGTAGAACAATGGCAAGCACTCGGCATCAATTAAAGAGCAGATGTACATCGCTACCGTGTACAACGCATCAACACTGCTCCAAGACTTGACACCTTGTTCAAGACCAAATAGGAATGTTGTAAACAATGAGCCACATACAGAAATTTTACGAAAATTTGATACATTGCTTAGGAATGCAGAAACAAATGAACCTCACCCAGATGACGAAGGCGGCATCTGAAAGAACCTTACTATATCTAAACTTTACAGCACATTGACTCATATGAGAGTACGGTAAGAGTCGGTTTTGCGCAAGAAAAACTGAAATTGTTGAACTCTTGCAGAAGGGCGGCTCATGTTATCGCATCTGCTAACGCGCTCATACCGTTTCGCCTCATACAAATCAAGGACATCAACGAGATTTCGTAACTGCATAAGAAGACATTCGAGGACCGAAGAACTTCCATCCATAATGATTAGTTTTCCAAATTATGCTAACCAGTTCGAGGAGTTGGGTTCCATTTGTCTCCTATCCAAAATCTGCTGCTTGAGAGCACGAACAGTGGCGGAGTTTCTTTCCAGTCTTCTTTCTATTTCAATCAGTTCCTCGTTCTCTTTCCGGAGTTCTTCTTTTCTCTGTCTTGCCGCTTGAAGCTCGTCTCGCAACCACTGTAAGCGGACATGAAATGGAAGGAATAGAGATTACTCTTCCAAATACGAATACCTCGATTTCTTCTTTCAAAATCTTACGATCCAATTCTTCTTCCTCTTTGAGAGCATTCTCATATGATCTGATGATTTCAGATGCTTCCGCCGCAGAGGGGGTTTCGATGAGTTCTTCCTTCAGGGCTTGCACCTCTGCAGAAGCAGAAATCAGGAGTTAAAAATAGGGAGAAAAAGGCTATAAAAATGAATTTTGTATAGTTGAAGACGTTTATCAAAACCTGTCTCAAGTTGATCCAACTGTCCACACAATCTGGAATCCTCAATCAACTGAGCTAATTCAAGTTCATCATTTGCTATTGACTGCTAGAAAAAGTTACACTGTCTCTTCATATGCATATTTCAAACTGGCTTAAACTTACCTCGGTCCCTAATACAGCTTGTTTGGCTACTTCACTTCGAGCATTCGCCCATTCAATTTCAGCCAGTAATCGAGCACTTTGTAGCATGTCTGCGTCATCGAAGGACAGCTGGAAAAGTGCGAGCTGAAGCCTGATAAAAATGCTTGAAGGAAGCATACCGCTCTCGTCGCCATATTCTTGACAGCAAGCGCTTTCACTGCATCTTTTTCTTGAAGCTCGGGAAGCAACAGACCAAACTCCTTGTCCGACCTTGATCATATTGTTGGATCTCCACTTTACTGATATAGCGCCTCAAAACATAATACCTCTGATACATTTCGTTGATCTTTGTGGCCAACTCCTCAGAAATTTGCTCTCGAATCATGTTACTGTCTGGCTGATCATCAAGAACATTCACGTAGTTTACCTAATTTAATGGTAACTTGAAGAATAATTAGTCTTTTAGCAGCTTTGAAACCTGTAGGGAATGCGAGTCAAACATCATTCTGCAACTAAGACTTGTAGTCTCATCTCGCAAAGATTTCACCGAGAGTATGGTGTCATCCTTTGAAGCATTGGGACGGAATCTGCTTCCAGATGGCTGCAAGCACGATTACTAAGTCGTTTAACGAGAAAAGAAAAGAAACGAAATTCAACGGACTAGAATGGAGATGTCTCTTTTGGTGTATGTGCTTTCATTGATGAATTCATAAATGGACTCATTCGTTGTTGCATTCTTTTGAACGGCACTTATCTGAAACCGATAAGTTTGTAAAGAAAACAAAGACAACGTTACTCAGACCTGCTTCAATGTAACCAAATCATTTGCATTCGACAAAATCGTAGTCTTCTGATATTTTCGAAAAAATCTTTCTTTTTATTTGGTGAAAGATTTAAAACAAGAAAACGCCACAAAATTGGAATAATCAATTTGCGCCCCTACAACACTATGATGAAGAATTAGAGATGATCTTGGCATTAATCAATATCAAACCTCAAACTTTCCGAAATTCTGGAGTTTCTTTTGAAGAAAAAAAGGTTCTTGGTCAAGATTTTTATAACATCTGCAGCCACTCCCAATTCTTGCGGACCATTCTCATAAAAAAACATTGAGCTCTTTTCATGTCATTGCTTACCACTGCAACACGATATCGTGAGTCGCGGAAACGGAACTCAAAATGAAAAGTTTTATGTACATCACATAACTGCGACTTTTGCCCGGAGAAAACAAGAAGTGATCGCAAATATCTTTTGATCAAATTTTCTCAAGAAAACGGAAGCTTTTCACATCGAGGCTGCGTTGAAGAGATTTCCCAAGAAGCAGAGCACAGAACCTCAACAAGTTCCTGAGCATGAGTTCGATGAGATTAGCTGGCTAGAACTTGTGCGTTTTTGCTTGGCAATGTACGTTTGAGGAAATAGGACAGACTCAGAGGTCTATCATATGAGGTCGTTCCGAAAGTAATGTCGTTTTTTCACATAAACGCTACATTTCGTGGAACAAAGATTACTGAGAGATCATCTTTTAAATGGCTATAAATCATTGCAGCACAGCCGATGAGTCTCGAAAAAATTCCCATGGTCTTTGCCATGGTCGAGTTTCGCTTTTCTAGATTTTTATCCTGATTCTCCGAAGAAGTCCAGGTGACCTAGGGTAAAACAAACCCTACAGGATATATACAAAACAACTCTTTTCCTCTATACAGCTTGCATCTCAACATTTTTTGAAACCATTTCTTTGATCCTATCAAATCTCATATTCGGTCAACTCAAACCCATAGAACATCAGTCCAAGCGTCTCGGTGCCATCCGATGCAGGTTTCTTTTTTCTTTTCTGGTGTTTTTGTTCCACAAGAAGTGAGTTCATTTGAAAAAAAGCGACATTACTCTCGGAACGACCTAATATTAAGTTGTTATATAATCTTGTTATGCTTTGATTTTTTTGGCAGTGAGACATACACCTTTCAGTTCTAATCAAATTCGGGGTGCACTCGCTAAGCAAACCAAATTCTACAAGACGTTCAAACATTTACCCCAACATTAATCTATGTGAAGTCTGAAGCCAAAAACTTTGAGAATCCAAATGCCAAAGAGAAAAAATAGGAGCTCAAAATGCTACGGTCGAACGTGCTCAAGCTTATACATTTTACATCAAACTTTCATATACATATAAAGTCGTATTTTCCTCAACTGCAATTCTAAAAACAATGATTCTCATGTTTCTACAGAAAGAATGTTAAGTTGCTCCCGCACTAATGTACAACTGCGAATTTGCGTTTTACAAAAGCTAGTCTTCGAGAAATACAAGGTTTGGCTTTGAAAAGTCGGATAAGGAAAGCTAACTCTGATATTTCTCGAAGACTAGCTCTTAGAGAGTGCAATTCACAGTGATACTTCTAAAGGGTTATGGTTTACGATTAGCTTGTGAATGGCTCAGCACTGCTTTTGTGAAATCGTAAAAATTCCTGTTCTCTCAATTTCAGCCAAACTACGGCAACCACATATGTGATTGCCTAAAATGGAACGTATATGCAGTATGGAGTGGAATGTATATGCATGGGCAAGTTAGGGTTTGCGTAGGAGTTTTTTTGAATGGAGTTTTCAATTTTGCTCAATTTTTTTGAGATTTCCAACTTTGAATGGATCGAACGAAACTGGTGCACATCTTCAAACAGCTTCTAATCGGAGGGTACCCTAACGACTGATCAAAAATAAAAAGCTTGTGTACTTAATTAAAGGTAACAAGAATTATGTAACACCTAATACTACCAGTCGAGGATAGCCCCACTGTTATTTCCATCTATTGCTTACCCACAAGTGTGCATGAGTTTCGGCAAGCCTAGGACATCGAATAAATCATTGGTCGACAAATGCCAAGAGCTACTTACAGTGGAAAACAAAGCATAAAGATCCTTCGACTACAAATTCAGGTATAAACCTTTATCCTAAACTGGCGACAGGCGTTCAAATTCAGATCCTACGTTCAGTCAGGTGAGTACAACTCATTTTGCCGCTTTTTGGCGATTTCCGAGTTATCCTACAAGAAGAATTAAAATCCGTACACCTGAACTGGAATTTGCTGTGCATGAGAATTAGAGATGCGCACAAAATCTCATTACTTTGGTGAGCTGTAAATTTTGCTCTTTGATAATTGCAAAACCAAAAAAAATCTGCTTAATTTCCAACTGGGTGGTAAGAATATGTTGGAATTCTGTATGATGCTGGATTTGTTTTAAATGATAATGATCGCTATGAAAAGATGAAACAAAGTACTATAAGTATAGCAAGATTACAGTTTATTTCAGAGTCGTTGGCATCCCTACAAAGGCAGGAAACTGTCTTTACCTCCATGTCATCAACTTGTTCAGCCAGTGTGTGCAAGGTGTCACCCAAGAGTGCCGTTCTGTTACCATGTTCATTTTCCTGCGTTACATCAACGGCATCAGTGTTTTGCTGCAATAGGATTTCTTTAACACTGAGTAGTGCGGAAATGAAAAATGCTTCGACTGACTTGAGTAATGTCCATGCTTATTTCACAAAGAGCTGTAGACTCCAGTTTCGTGGCAACAGAGTCCCCCTTGAAGTATGTGTTCAGTTGTCGTAACAGGATATGGAACCTTCACCTGCATATTCTCCGAAGCAAGTGCCTCCTCAGCATGGCCTTTCATTTTCTCCCCAAAAAGATGCTCAATGCTTATCGGGTCCATTCTTTGAAATGAAGAAACGTCCGCTCTTCGTTGTTCTTCCATCTCCTCCATTGCCTCAGACTTATCCATGATGCGCTGTCGCTTGCGGTCAACCACACCAGGGGAATCCAAATGTGTTTTTGTAAAAGTGGCGGAAAGGATAGACATTGCTTCAGCCTAAACCAAACATTTAATCATTACTGCCACTGCTCGAGTACGCCCCCGAAAGAGTAGCTATCTGTCGCAGCATGGCAAACCGACTCTCGAACAGCGATTACCAAACCATAAGTCCCAAAATTACGTTGACAAACTTTGATTTCAAATTTAATAATGAAAACTATGAAAACACTAGCTGGCTTACCCGGCTTCGCCCGGCCCTGACAAATACTACGATAAAGGTCCTATCCCTTATTCCTGTACAACCTTTACCTGTGCCCACTTCTACATGCTAACTCCCTATTCTCGCTGTGTTAGTAATCAGTATGCTCGATTACCCCCCCCCCCCCCCCCTGCCAACTCCCATCCCCGTAGCTCAAACTTTTCAAAAAAATCAATAAATTCGATAAAAGTAACGGGTAATTTTGAAAACTATATTGTAATCGTAATCAGCTGCTCGATTACCCCCCCCCCCCCCCTCCATCATATTCCATTGTGTAGTATGGATAAAGGATAAAGGATTCGGCGTCTTCAATACCCTCTGAGGGTATGCGCCGAACGCACACACTAACTTCATAGTCGAAGAGGCAATTGTGTGCGTGCGAGCCTATCACAGTGACTTGCGGGGGCCAGCCGTTTCCAAGTCAGTGTTTTTATCCTCCCAGATTACTCTGGTACCAATTTGCTGGCCCCGGAGGGTAGACGGCTTGGTTGGCCCAGGGGCGGGGATCGAACCTGTGTTCGATCTGGTCATAGCGGCGCCTCATACCACTACGCCACTCGTCCCCTTGTAGCTTATGACCTCCTCTAAACAAAAATTTCTATCAACGACTATTGAGATAGCATTTTTAACGACACATTTACGTAGTCCTTTTAGAAAATGATCAATTGTTTTTAGATCCTTTCGTGCAGGTTTTCTTTTACTGGAGACGATTTCACCTTAGCAATCAAATTTTGAGATTCAGGGCGTGCTTTCGATTTCAGGTATGGTCATATAAGAAAAAAAAGCACGTTCCGGTCAGGTGAATTTGGGGCATGTTGTCTCTTTCCTTCTTGCCATATCCACCTTCAGAATCAATCTTTTTACTGTTAATAAATTTTGTTTGAACAAAAATGAAAGCCGATTGCAAGAGGAAGAAGACCTTTTTGATGATACCACAACTTTCTGATAAATATTTTGACATTACAACAAAATTCAATCAACCTTGGCAGCATAATTTTGGTATACATGGAACACTACAGGGAACAACAAGCTGCCTTCGGAAATGAATTTCTTTGGGTTGTGATCTTGAATAATCTTTTTTGAAATCTGCTATTTACTTTAAACGTATCTGTTCAATTCGATACCTTTATCCTTGAAGGATGCACTTTCTAGAAGCGCTCAAAAAATCTTGTGGTAATGCTTAAGGAGAACAGTGCTTGGGACGATAATTCACGGACGCGAGAATTTCTTCTAAATGAACAAGCGAAACATGTATAAGTATACCAATCCGTAGAGATCATCAAGGGCAACATTTTTGATATGTTCTGTGCTTTTGAAAAGGCTGACTTTTATTTTAAATTTCAGAAAAATTTTCTTCAGCTGCTCCAGCAGGCCGATCGTCGTCACCGGCAAATGCTTTAATATGTTGACTGTTGCCTATTTCGAGACTAACTATTCTAGAAGCTCTCGGCTGACGACTCGCTTCTTCAAAAGTGATTGGCGCTGGCTATGAGTTCTGCAGGTTTCTTAGGCCCTTCTTGCAATGCCCGAAAGGTCTTGTTTTGCGGAGTAGGTTTGAAAATTTCAGAGAATTTCGCAGTTTTGATTCAATGAAAACTATTCCGAAGCAAAAAGAAAGTGAAATCCCCATTATGACTCTGCTCTAATTACTTCATTATCTATTTGTATGCCCGTGCACTTCATTCATGGAAAGTTTATGTCTCAAAGAAGAATTTGAGCTTCCCGCGGACAAAAGCAAGGCAAGGCATTAGAAGAAAAAGGTGAAAATAATGTCTGCGATTGAGGGTCTTCTCAAATCATGTAGGCGTCTACGCTAGCTATCAGATGATCTTGGTTTGCGCTGTAGGAAGCTTGTCAAGTCCTTTTGTATGAATATTAGGTAAGGCCAAAACAAACGCAAAGGATTAGAGCATGAAGCGATACGTGTTTGACGCCAAGAACGTGCATGGGAGTGGCGGTCCAAGAAATTTTGCCCTGGGAAAGGGCACAGAATCCGAAAGGGTGCGATGTTAGGAACGCCTTCCGAAATAAATTTGGAATGTCTCCCAACTTTTTAGCGCGCTAAAATGCAATTCATTGAAGAGGGGGTGCAGCGGCGACATCTCGTAGTCTTATTGCAGCAGAACAACTACGACCTCCGCCGGAATTTTTGATGGCCTTTGAAATTATTTCGAGTTATGAATGTAACATTTTTAGCACTAACATCAAAAGAAGGGCAATGACAGGCACTTGTTGTGGCTTGTTTAGCTGGACCCCGGGATTCGTAAATCCTTTATTCGACTAACGTTTCGGCGGTATCGCCTTCTTCAGAGTCTGGAATTACGTTATTCGAATAAAGGATATACCAATCCCGGTGTCCAGCTAAACAAGCCACAACAAGCATCTGCAACATGCCGAGATTAATCGAGAGTCGAACTTGGGCAGTAGTGACAGCCACGCCCCGAAAAAAAAAACTGTTTGATTTTGCTGAATCAGTTATCTGTAGCCGATCTCGCACAATCTATACCTCAAATTCGCGACCCTCTTTTGAGGGAGGGTGTCATTCCGCACTACAGGGAAAATTGTGTAATTGAAACCTCCCTTCATGAGATACACGTTGCTGACAACGGCAGCTCTATCATCATTAGTCCCGAACAAGTTTCGAACAAACTGCACCAAAGATTACCTTTCCAAGAGAGCCGTCAATCGATGCGTTGTGGACAATTTCTTCCTCTTCCTGCAAATGAAATGCATCAAAACTGAACAAGAAAAGGAAGCACTGAGCCTCACTTCTGCTTCAAAAAGCTTTCCATCATTGTTGAGGGCCACGATTTCACACGGCTCATTATTGCTAACAGCAATGGCGGTAAACTCTTTCGTGGTCTCAGCCGATGATGCTTCCGCAAGACTTTGACATGATTTGTTAGAACTCACAATATCAAATGTTTTGTTCAATGCTGTATCCTTTTCCTAAAAGGGTTCGCATTTCAAGCATATATGATATGAATGCACAACTACCATAAAAAGAGTACTCACCTAAATGAGAATGAAATAAAATTACAGTGGCAAAGTCATACCTCAGCCTCCGATTCATGCATTGTGCATGCTGATGTGACATCCATATCCGAATCGGTAGGGATCTCCTTAAATTGTATACAAAGTTCGGAGCCCGATAAAACAAGAAATTAAACAAAAATTAAGACTCAGTAAAGAACATGGGAAAACAAGAAAATAGAGAAGCAAGGTAAATCACTAAAAGAGCAAAAAGACATCGCACCTCTTTTTCTTCGACATAAGTATGGGTAAGATTGGAAGCGCCTTTGAAAGCAAGAGCTGTGTCATCACAGAACGTAGTGGATGATAACTAAGATAAAAAGTTTTAGTCACGCAAAAATATCATTTCTTTCGATGAAAGATAGGAAATATCACCTTTTCGACGGGAGAATGTGAAGGAGACTGATAGATACACTTTCTCTGACCTGCTTTGACAAAAGCCATTATCTAAAAAAATGGTTAATGAGCGGGTCGTGTAGTGTATATCATACCGTTTCATCCAATGTAATGTCATATCTAGACGACTCGAACAAGCGATCAGCGACTCGATGATCTGAAATTATTTCTTCACTCACTGCCTTGAAAACAGAAGGAACCGTTTGTCTGCACCTAGAGAAGAGATACGTATTGAGAATGGCTACATCTTGTTTCAATATCAGACTACATGCTATGTTTTCTCAATAGCAATTATGGTCTGAACCAGTATAGATTCCCAAAAATGAAGGACTATCGAATTTGTGCGAGTCCGGAATCAGATACCTGACTGGAGTGTCGATGGGAGTTTGCGAGGTTTACCAATGTTTTCCAGACAGGCTTGCGTGTCATTGCTTGATCCTGTAATGAGTAAAGGTTTTCGCTTTTGAAGTCAGTCGTCTCAGTAACCAGTCATTAATGTAAAAGTGGAGGATGCACTGTGAAACTTGATTTGTAGCACAGCTTTCTCTAGGCTGAAGTATTCTTGAGGAGACTCTTTCATTTCTAAATACAATTTACACAAAGATTTGCACTCATTACGTACGATTCAGCTGCGAAAAGTAACATATTATTATTGGATACTGAGGCAACTTTTTCTGTAAATTTTTCCTTTGAGTATGGCGCACCCATTCTCTGACATTATATAAATCTCTGCTACAAATGCAGCAGTGTTTGCGCAATTGTGTAATGTGAGGTCTACGGTAACCACAAGGAGAACAAATTAGAAGAGCACAAAAATACAGATTTCCACAGATTTGGAAACTTGTTCCAGGAGATTATCCTACATGATGATTACGGTAATGATATTCATTTTGCGTGGTTGGCTTTTTTGTAAAATTATGGAAAACTGGAAATCCATAGTATGATTCCCCCCCCCCCTACAAGTGGAAATGATAATCGGGTCAATTACGGTACAACTCTAGCTATACTTTGTTTACACGCGTCTTCATATGTTTGGTTCATTTTTGCTGCAAAACTCCAACACCTTAGATTTGACCGCTCCACATTGTTGTTAAAATCAAATAGTCTTACATCTTTGTAGCTCATTCGCTGTCTACCGAATGCTAAAATTTGTAGGTGCCTTATTCAGTGAGAGAAAAGTTGGAACAAAAGTGCCAGAATAGTTTTCCGCTTAGCGCTCACAGTACTGGACATAAAACTGGAATCAGTCACAACGATAACAACAATCTTTCTCAGTGAGCATCGCAGATTACTTACGTGAAAAACATAAATGCAGCTGCCTGTGAAGGGGGGATGCAAAGCAGCGATGCCAGTACGTGTTAGGTAAGAAAGACTGGCTGAATCTTTCAGTAGACTTTTAGCGAAAAAGTAAGGATGTAATTCTGACCGCGAATCCTGGGACAAGAAATTCTGTTGAGTCGACTGGAGTTTTCATGAGGCCACGCATCAAATCACAGCAGAATCAAACAAAGGAGGAAAAAATGGAAAATGAACGCTGCATAACTTCAGAAAAGGAACACTTTACGAAAGCAATGAACAGAAGCACTCTGCAACATGGAGGATTAATCATTTGAATTCTTCGTTAAAATGAGCAACCATTTCAGGTCATTCTTTTCACTCAACAAAAAGCCAAATATGCTGCTCCAGAAAAGAGACCGAAATGAATAGCGAAAGTGAGGCTAATGAAAATGCAACCGGATATAAGATAAGCATGGAGAATAATTGCAGAATAGCTCTGAGTGAAACAAGTCATCGTGGCAGTGAGTTCAGCATCTTCGCGCGAATGAGTGTAGGGTTCAGAGAAAAACCAAACCTATCTACCCGTTAATCGAACTCAGTGCTTGAAGAATCACTCACTTGAAGAACAATCAGCAGTGCTGTCCAGTGACATATCAACGTTGCTGCACCGAGTAGTATTCAAAACACCCTTCTGAGGGACATCTATGAAACAAAGAAGTATCTACTGTTTTGATGAGATGAACGTCTAACCTGTTGTGAAAGTGTTGTCAGAGATAGACATATCTGCGGAGGAATGACACGTCGAACCAAATGCTTCAGCAGTATTTTGAGCATCTGCAGGCAGTTCTTCTATGTACAAGACTCTGCTACTAGAAAAAAAGTACCAGTGCTATCCGTCACAGTGGTTTCGACAAGCGACATGTCAGCTAATGAATAATTCGTTATCCTGTCATAACTCAATCGTGCTTTGTTGCCTTAACAAAGGTAACTAATGGTGCAACAAGAGTAGTCCTCAACCAAACCTTTTACAAAGGCAGCCATTGTATCGTTGTTGGAAACGGAATTCTCAAGAAGGTTATCGTCATTAGGTGAACAGGGTGCATCCATTGCAGTAGTGTCACCAAAAGACATTTCGATCGGAGAATAGCGAGTGACATCATTGTAAGTCAAACGCTCTCTAGGACCTTGAATGAACATTTAGAAAAATTACACCGGAACCCATAAGATTACCTTTTTCAAAGGCCGTCATAGTGTCGTCTGCAAAATGTGTGTTGTTCTCTATACCACTTGCTGTACTAGGCGTGGAATGGGCTGTGCTTCTTCCAGGCCTAAACCGGATGGATTAAAGGCCTCAGTCTTGTAGGGAAAACTTCACAAACGTCAATATCCCATCGGAGCTCATGGTCTCTTGTATCTTCTCCTTGAAAGGAGAACCTTCGAGCAAGTTCAAGTCACCCTTCTCAAAGTTTCTAAACAACAAGCAACCATGCTACACTCAAAGTATAGCTGAGAAGAACGTAAAACGTACTGCACAGTTTTGACATTATGGAAGCTAACACGTCGCTTCAACACTTGTTTGTTATCACTTTGCACTGCCGTAGTAGTTTCTATCTCCACTTCTGTTTGTCGAACTTTGAGAATCTAAATCTCACACTGTGTAAGAAAATGCAAAATTACATTGACAAAACACTGTATAACTAGAAACAAAGAAATTACCGAGCTGCGACGACTTTTGCGATGTGAGTCCATAGTAAGGGTACGATTGTCTGCGAAGGAAAATGTGGTAATGACAACTTATTCAATAGAGGCAACGTGAAAATCACGCGGAGTGCAACATTATGCGAACTTTAGAAAGAAATCTAGCAACTTTTCTTATCACAAACTAAGAATGGCCGTTGCAAAGCTTTCACAACAATCTACCATCTTCGTTTACGTTCCAAATCTTGTATGGAATTTGCTTATAAATAAACTTAAAAAATACATATTAAAACAATGGATAACATGATAGAAGACAGACAGAAGCTCAGATGCATGCAATTTGGGAAAATAAAAAGTGATCAACACCAATGCATTACGCCAAAAGACTCAAAACATCGTGCGCAGCGATAATATGGTCTAATGCTGTAATCACACATAATGCTGTAATTTCAACATTCTAAAGAAACTGCAAAAGCTGCATAAAGCGATTCAACGATTAACTTGTTCAAACTGTGTTGTTTCGCGCTTGGAGAAGCGCATTGCGATTGGAGCACAATTTTTCATCCTTCGGAACACGCGAGATGGAGACTTTTCGCTTTCCGCTTGTCGGATCCGTGATAGCATTAACTTATTAGGGTGTGATCGAACAAGCTGTTAGACAACCTTCAATGTGTACACTATAACAAGATCACTTTGCCATTACCAGGGTCAAGCAAAGGTTTGGCACATGATCGCTGGTTACCCCCCCCCCCTGATTGCTGTCTTAATAAGACCCCTCTTCCCGAATTATACCTAAGATAGCATTACCTGAAGGCCCTGTCAAACATAATGGGCAACATATCCATAATGAGCATGTCAATTAACCCCTGTAGACAAAGTTTGAGCGAATTCTGAAGATTCAAGACACTAGGCTACCTAAGTGAAATGGTCATTTTCCAATTTGAGTAACTTTGTTTCAAAGGTGAATTAGCTATCCGTTTTTGCATTCAAAACAAAGCACTACTCCTTCTTTGTCCATCTCAGAAATCCTGCTTCAAAAGACCTCCAAACTGTGGAATTAGAAGCCAACCAAAATCTCATTTTTCCCATTTTTCGCTTTCAATAGTTGTGCTTTCACCAAATATTACTCAGAGCAAAGAGAACGAATCAGGCTCAAATCACTCCTGTGAAAACTAGGAGATCTAGGCTATCGATCCATATAAAAACGGTTTGCTAAAAATGTTTTTATGACATAGTTAATGGGGTGTGGACCCCCTTAAAAGCTGTGGGTGCCCACAGAAAAGCCCCAAAGCGCCAGAAAGAGCCGGAACGCCCCCTCGCAAGTTTTGGCGCTAGGGCATGCGTGTTGTGTTCGCAAGGCGGTCCTTGCACTTGATTATTCTTCAAACCTAGTTGTTCTAGTATCCAACATGTTTCCGAAACTAATGCTCCAGCGCCAAGACTAGCGCCCGTGAAGCGCTTTTTTGGGCGCTTTCTTTTTTCGGCGAAGTATGACGGGTCCCTGAACGATGCCTCACAAAGCTGCGGAAGGCGCGCCCAACCCAGGGCCCAGGCACAGATCCTGGAAGCAGGCTGGACTTCGTTTTTGAAAAAAGCAAAGGAGATGTAGTTTTTGACAAATCGGGGCCAAACACCAAGAATAAGCGCCATTTAGTTGAACACAAGCTTTTCGGACAGGTTATCCCACGATTGACATGCTCTATCGTGTATGGCGAAAAGTGCGCGCGATTTGAAAGCAAGGCTAAAATAACCGGCGCTATTCGGCTATCCGGGCCCCAAAAATTTTTTGGCATGGATTTCGCTAAAACTTGGCACGGAGGGGTTAATTGACATGCTGATCACGAATATTACCTTTTCTCCGCAGAAATATGCCTCCCTACAGGATTACGGTAGGTATACGGTAGGGGGTCAAAATTACGGATCTGCCCGAAACTTCGTCTAGAGGGGTTATTTGGCACGCTGAACACGAATATGATGTTTATTTCGTGCGACAGCGCCATCCGGTGGAGTTACGGTAGGACTACGGTAGAGGGTCAAAATCACGGACTTGCCCGAAACTTGGCCTAGAGGGGTTATTCGGCCCGCTGATGCCAAATATCACATTGGTTTTGAACCATAGCGTCATTTTCTCGGGTTACGGTAGCTACACGGTAACGGGTGTAAAGCATAGTTCTGCCTGAAACGGGTTTACGACGATTCGGACGATTGTGAAAGCTGCACACACGACCACCGCCGCTCGCTACACACCCTGCTGCGACTTTTGCCTAAGCAAAGCATGGGGGGAGATACATTTGCCGATTTGTGATTTTGACCCCTACCGTAAACCTACCGTAACCATGCAGGGAAACGTTTTCGTGCGGAGAAAGTGTGACATTCGTGATCAGCATGTCAGATGACCCCTCTGTGCCAAGTTATAGTGGATTTTGAGATTTTGACCCCCTACCGTATGCCCACCGTAACCCGAGAAAATGACGCTACGGTACAAAACCAATGTGATATTCGGCGTCAGCGGGCCGAATAACCCCCTGGGCCAAGTTTCAGCTGAATCTACGATTTTGACCCCCTACCGTTTACCTACCGTAACTTCACAGGAAGGCGGTTTTCTGCGGAGAAAATGTGATATTCGTGATCAGCTTGTCAGATAACCCCCTGGGCCAAGTTTGAGCGAAATCCATGACCAAAAAATTTTGGGGCCCGGATAGCCGAATAGCGCCTTATTTGCAAAAGAATTATGCAAAAAGATTTGAAAACTTGTGTGAAGTACTACCTTTTCCAAATTTAGTCCGTCTCCATACGGTCACCAGACGATCGTCTGAAGCATTTATTTCTGTCGCTTCACATAAGTTTCGAATTTTCCTATCATGCACGGATTCCCTGGTCAAAAATCCATCCTTGAGCATAAAAACATTTTCATATCATTGCTCCTTTGTTTTTGCCTCAATTTCTCCATAAATCGCGTGTTAAATACCGCGCTCCAATGCCAAACTCTAGTGCATGCGTACTTTTCAGCTCTAAGGCAGGCGCCATATTTGATCCGCTTGATCCACTTGATCCGCTTCATCCGCTTCACTATTGGTTAGTTCACTGAATTGACCAATGATGAAGCGGATCAAGCGGATCAAGTGGATCAAGCGGATCAAGTATGGCGCGTGCCTAATTAGGATTTTCACTCCTATCTTACTTCCTTCTTTCAGACTAGTAAGTTTTTCTTATTTTCATCTTCTCCTAAGTAGCTAGGTCAAAAGGACTTCGTAAAACTTCCGAAAGTCCTCAGAGTTGGAGCGTGCGGCACACGCGCGTTTATGGTCAATGCGGCAAAGCGCATGCCTTATTTGTGGGCGTGTCCGGCACTACGCCAAACGCGTGCCATCCTAGACATTTGGTGCGTGCGGCGCGTGTATAATGGCCAACACCGCGACCCGCGCGCTACGTCTATGTTCGATCTCGCCACCCGCGCGCCTAATTTTGTAGCACCGCGCGCGTGCCTTTATACTCTATACCCTTTATACTCTACGTTGCGTGCGCATTTTCGGCGTGATGTGGCAACAAGAAGAACGTGGAAAAGACTGCGCCACGTTGTGTTGAGCGCCACGTCGCGCCAGATGATGCGCTCGCAACGTGGCGCGAGCCCGAGGGTATATGTATATTATATATATATGTATATATATATATATATATATATATATATACCCTCGATATCATCCAATATGTTTTCCCTCAACATGACGTGGATTACGTGGCTTGATGAGGCGCCGCCTCGCCTCGGCCTTGCGCCACGTTGCGTGCGCATTTTCGGCGTGATGTGGCAACAAGAAGAACGTGGAAAAGCCTGCGCCACATTGTGTTGAGCGCCACGTCGCGCCAAATGATGCGCTCGCAACGTGGCGCGAGCCCGAGGCGAGGCGGCGCCTCATCAAGCCACGTAATCCACGTCATGTTGAGGGAAGACATATGGGATGATATCGAGGGTATATTAGGTTGAACCGAAAGTTCTGTCGCATCATTTTCAAAAATCATAACTTCTTTTGGTCACGACGATTTTGCGCAATTCAAATTTTGTGTGAAAGCGTAAAGCATGTAGTTTCCAAAAATTCCCTAGGAGTTTCCGACATGCTCAGATGGCAGAGATAAAAATGAAAGAACGAGATCATCCGAAATTCGGAATTTTTAAGCAAGAATTCTAGAAATTCAGAAGAGATAAAATCCAGAAAAGCCATTATCCTAATTTTTCTTACATTTTATTACTATCTGAATCAAGTTTGTGCTGATCGAGCCCTTCTTTCAAAAGTTATGATTTTTTGAAAAATAATGCCGAAAAATCAATTTCCTAAGAATTCTTGAGAAATGGATTTTTTGGCTTTTTTTTTCAAAATAACTTTTGAAAGAAGGGCTCGATCAGCACAAACTTGACTCAGATAGTATAGTCGTCCTCACCCCACTAGTCGGTCGGTGGATGAATTCGAATTCGAACTGGAGCAGGCAGGTCGCGGCAGAGCACGGCACCTTAGCTCTCCGTTCAAATTCACGCATTCACTTTGCGCATTTCTTTGCCATTGCTTAGCAGTTTTTGTATTGTTACAACGTTTTTGACCTATACTGAGTTTTTGTAATTGCTGAGCGTTGCCTCCTGCCGCGCTCTGCCGTGACAGGCCTGCTCCATTTCAAATTTGAATTCGTCCACCAACCGACTAGTGGGGTGAGGTCGACTATAATCAAATGTAAGAAAAATTAGGATAATGGCTTTTCTGGATTTTATCGCACTGTTTCTGAATTTCTAGAATTCTTGCTTAAAAATTCCGAATTTCGTATGATCCCGTTCTTTCATTTTTATCTCTGCCACCTGAGTATGTCAAAAACTCCCCAGAGAGCTTTTGGAAACTACATGCTTTACGCTTTCAGACAAAATTTGAATTGCGCAAAATCATCGTGACCAAAAGAAGTTATGATTTTTTGAAAATGGTGCGACAGAACTTTCGGTTCAACCTAATATATAATATATCACTACGTAATTTATAATGAATTCGTTGTTTACCCATTAAGCCACCAGGTTTGTGGAACAGGCAAACGAGGAGGCCGCAGACGGAGAAATTATGATGAAATACACTGATCTTTGGAATTGGATTGCTGCCAA